TATATTTATATTTATATTTATATTTATATTTATATTTGTATATTTACGTTTCGTTTGCTTTATTTATTTATTTTATTTTATTTATTTATTTTATTTATATATATATCTGTTTTATTTATATATTTATTTATATATTATTGTTATATTTATCTGTTATTTATGTAATTAATAATCAATGAATGAACATCTTTATGTGCAAATTAAATAAATAAATAAATAAATAAATAAATAAATAGATTAATTAACATATTAATTAATTAATTAATTAATTAATTGATTTGTTTATTTATTTATTTGTTAGGGTAGGAATGTATCAGTACGGCTTCTGAACAAAGAAGGTGTATTACAAGCAGCAGCAGTCGGAGGCGTTTGTTTGTTTCTGCAATTTTGGCATTGGCATCCGCTAATTTATTGCATTTCGCTTGCATTTGATCATCAAATGCTCGTCGGAGTCGTCCCTCTTGATCAGCCTCCGCCTCCTCCTCCTGCTGCTGCTGCACCTGCTGCTCTTGCACCTGCTGCTGCTGCTGGTGCTGGTGCTGCTGGTGCTGGTGGTGGTTCTAATGTGGAAGAGGTTGCTGCGGAAGAGAAGGAGGGGAAGGATTCTGCTGCTGCTGCTGCTGCTGCTGCTGCTGCTGCAGCAGCAGCAGCAGGAGGAGAGGCAGCAAAGACACAGGAAGAGACACAGCAGCAAGAGGGCAAGAAAGAGCAGCAGCAAACAGAGACAGCTGCAGCAGCAGAAGCAGAAGGTGCAATAGACATCGATAAACCTAATGAAGAACAGCAGCAGCAGCAGCAGCAACAGCAGCAGAAAGAACAGGAACAGCAACAACAGGCTCAAGAACCACAGCAGCAGCAGCAGCAGCAGCAGCAGCAGCAGCAGCAGCAGGTGCATCGGGCTTGTTTAAGAATTCCTTTAGGGTGGAAGCTGCTCTGCACGAACCCTGCAGCGTTTGAATATCCTGCTGCAGTTGGTGCAGCAGCAGCAGAGAGAGAGACGCAGCCCTCAATAAAAGCCGTGCTGAGCACAACAACGAGGAGACAAGCAGCAGCAAAAAGAAGCAGCAATGAAAATAAAAATAAAAATAAAAATAATAACTCTGAACAAAACAATCAAAATGATAAAACCAAACAAAAAAGTAAGATGCAAACACGAGGATTAGGGTTTAGGGTTTAGGGTTTAGGGTTTAAGCTAACGGGGGGTGCGTTGGATAGGGGGCTTCCAAGGGTTTAGGGTTTAGGGTTTAGGATTTAGGGTTTATGAGGGCTTCAGAAGCAGGCAGAGAGAAAGAGAGATAGATAAAGAGACAGCGAAGCAGCAGCAGACAGACAGCTCTGGCGTTTAAAATAAACAAACCCTAAACCCTAAGTAAAATACATTGCATCTGCAAGAAGAAACCCTAAACCCTAAACCCCAATTGTCTGTTTGTGCGCAGGTGAAGAGTACGCCCCCTTCCGCTTCGCTCTCGTTCAGGGTTTAGGGTTTAGGGTTTAGGGTTTAGGGTTTAGGGTTTAGGGGTTATGGTTTTTCCTTAGGTACTTGGGTTGAGAGTTTAGGGCTTTCCCCCTAGGGCTTAGGGTTTAGGGTTTAGGGTTTAGGGTTTAGGGTTTGTGTTTTGTTTGCAAAGGAATGAAATGGCTGTGGACTCTGCAAAACCGACGGAAGCCAAAAAGTCAGCAGCAGCAGCAGCAGCAGCAGCAGCAAGAGCAGCAGCAAGAGCAGCAGCAGCAGCAGCAACAGAAGTAGCAGCAGCAACAGCAGCAGCAGCAGCAGCAGGGTTTGGTTGTGTTGTTTTTGTTTGTGCTGCAGGGAAGCAAATGCAAGCACTCCAGCAAAAACAGAAAAAACAAAAGAGGCAGCAAGCGGCCCGGTAATCTGCTGCTGCTGTTGCTGCTATTATTGCTGCTGCTGTTGCTGCTGTTGCTGCTGCTGCTGTTATTGCTGCTGCAGCTGGTTGCAGGGTAAAAACCGTTTGCTGCCCCAGCAGCAGCAGCAGCAGCAGCAGCAGCAGCAACAGCAGCAACACCGCGAGCAGCAGCACTACTACCATCCCCAGCAGCAGCAGGAGCATCAGCATCAGCAGCAGCAGCAGCAGCAGCAGCAGCAGCATGAGTTTGTGTTTTTTGCTGCATGCAGGTTGAATTAGAGAGCCCGTTTCGTTTGCTGGAGGGACAGCGGTCTTCGCTGCATTTAATTTCTTCATGCAGATATCGTCCTGCTGTCAGAGCCCCTAATGCAGGGTTTATTGTTTTACAAGACTGCCGGTGAGGGTTTAGGGTTTAATAGGGTTTAATAGGCTTTAATAGGCTTTAATAGGGTTTTAATAGGGTTTAATAGGGTTTTAATAGGCTTTAATAGGGTTTTAAAAGGGTTTTAATGGGGTTTAGGGTTTAGGGTTTAGGGTTTAGGGTTTGAGGGGTTGATGTGGGGGAGCCTTTTCATCTCTCTTCGTCCATACTGCCTGCTGCTGTTGCTGCTGCTGCTGTTGCTGCTGTTGCTGCTGCTGCTGCTGCTGCTGCTGCTGCAGTGAAGGAGAGAGTGCGAGATATTTGGATGTACAGCCCGAAGACGAAGAACCGCAGCAGTTCGAGGCCTTTCATTGGTCTGGCTAGAGATAAATAAATAAATAAATAAATAAATAAATAAATAAATATAAATATAATTATAATTAAATAAATATAAATAAATATAAACGCTTTAAAAATACAGCAAACGCATGCAAGCCGCCTGTTGGGTTCTGAAAATATATTTATAATAAAAATATATTTATATAAAAAACAGCTTAAAATAATATAATTATATTTATATATCTGTACAATATAATAATTATATTTATTTATATATAATATAATTATTATATTTATTTTTATTTATATTGTTATTTATTTAGTATTAAACAAACAAAGCCAGCGAACAAACCGTTAAGGGCCTTCGATATCTGTCTTTTGTTTTTCTTTGTTTTATTATAAATAAAATATTAATAATGCATTTAAAGCATCAGTATAGTTATTTATTTATATTTATAAATAAATATATATAAATAAATAAATCTATCAAGTAAAATAAATATACATATAAATATATATATATATATATATATATATTGCTGTTCATCTATAGCTGCTTGCCCCTACCCTAAACCCTAAACGTTAAACCCTATATATGCAACATCTAGGGTTTAGGGTTTAGGGTTTAGAGTTTACACGGAGAGACGAACAACAAAACAATCAAACTGACACATCTCGAGTTGTTCAACAGGGCCCCCCCCCCTAGGGGCCCCTAGGGTTCAGCAGGGGCCCCTAGGGTTCAGTAGGGGCCCCCAGGGTTCAGTAGGGGCCCCCAGGGTTCAGTAGGGGCCCCCAAAGGGGCCCCAAGGGCTGAGTGGGGGCCCCTTCTTCTTCATCACTGGGGCCCCCTAGGGGCCCCCTGTTGCTAAGGGGGCCCTCTTAGGGGCCCCCCCATTGAACCATGAGGGGGGGACTCCTTAGGGGGCCCCTTGTTAAGGGGGCTCCCATTGAACCCTGGGGGCCCTCTTAATAATAAGGAGCCTTTTGCTGTTAAGGGGGCCCCCTTAAGGGGCCCCCATTGTTAATATGGGGCCCCCCTTATACTGTGTTGTTTAGGGGGGCCCCCCAGCGGGCCCCCCTAAACAACAATATAATATATATATAA